CCACCCGGATTGACACCTCTAGAAGAGGGGATGGCGGTCTGTCCAATTGTTTGAGTTTCTATAGTAGGTGAAGTTTTGGGGATGGTATTGGTGGTAGGTTTGGTTTCCAACCCATTCAATTGAGTTTTAGCAGTAGGTAGAGTTGTCGAGATTGTGTTGGTGGTAAGGTTGGTTGCCTTCTCAGTCGTTTGAGTTTTAGCAGTAGGGAGAGTTAATGGGATGGGGGTAAGGGTGGTGGTATAGCCAACCAATTGAGTTTCAGCAGTAGATGGAGTAGTGGGCATGGGCATTTTTGCATTCCCATTTGATTGGGCTTCTGTGACCAAATCTCTTGAATATGTGACCTATCAAAGTGCACGGATCACATTTCAAAGTACATAGGTTACATGTCACATATTCAAGATATTCGGTCATGGGCCATTGGATTAGGTCACAGATCCAGAGATTTGGTCGTCGACCATAAGATCGAGTCACAATCACATATAACAGGGCACATGTTAACGTGCATAGGTCACAGATCACGAATTCAAGAGATTTGGTCACAGACCCAAGAGATTTGGTCACAGGCCATTAAATCGAGTCATAGGTTACATTTCAAGTACATAAGTCACAGGTCACGGGGTTAAGAGATTTGGTCACGGACCATGGCTCAGGTTATGTTAAAGATCCAAGAGATTTGGTCACATACCATTGGATTGATCATAGGTCATACGTTAAGATGCATAGATCACATGTCACGAATTCAAGAATTCTGGTTACATGCTATTGATTTCTACGACCTCAATTATCCGAAATTATTACGAATTCAATTAACCAAATTTTGATGGTGAGAACTGAAGTTATTGGCTCCGGTAAGTACTCTGTAAAATACATCAGGGGGATGTTTTTCAATTTTCAATTTTAGAAAAACCATATTAAATTATATCAGCACTACTGAGTCGTGGGTGAAGAAGATGATCAGTTGTCGACGATGCTCAGTCGATGTTCTCCAATGATCGCTATGTTTCTGACTCTATCTCTACTATCTAAGTCGGCGATGCTCACTCGCAGTTGAGCGATAATCAATTCACCGTTGAAGAAGTCGTCGGCGGGGTGGATGTCGACGACTGTAAGAGGGGATAGAGGTGGGCGGATGGGTACCAGTTGTTTGGTAGGTAGGGTGGGTATGGGTCGATTAATTTAATTTGATAATACTATTATTTAAAATTAAAACAGAATTAATACTTGACTGTTCCATTTTTAAACTTAATGTCTAAAAATTAATTTGATGCATACTTAATACTTGACTTACGAATTTTTTCCCTTTACACTAACCTATAAATACTTAATAGACTTATTAATATTCTTGCTAGAACATAAGGAATATGTGAAAACCCTAAATCCAAATCTCTCTAAATCCAACTGACAGTCATGAACCATGCTTGGTGTTGGAATTTCAATTGATCTCGTCATGTGAATTTTTGTTGAAGTCTTACATCTGAATAACTATTGTATGCTAAGATCGTGATAGATTAAACTTTGAATTCTCTCAACTTATGAAAATCGTCAAAGGTATATATTCTAGTACAGATTATATCTCAGCACAAAGGTGGCCAAACTTTTGAGTATTGAAATTTGTTTAATTTTCACTGTGAATGTTTAAGTAAATACTCAACAATCCAGCGCGGCCACCCGTGTTGGCTTCGTCCGAATTTACAGTCGCTAGCAAAGGAGAAGAAGCTTGAAGCGCAGCAACCGCAAGGATTTGATGAAGTGTTTTGGGAAAGATGACAATATATTGGACCTGGGCCATTTTTTTCCAATTTGGGCCTCTTTTTTTAAAAAAAAAGAATAAAGGGAAAAATTCATTTCTCCTACTTTATCTTTACCCTATTTCAAGAATAACAAAACGACTTTCATATTTCAAAAATTAGATATTTTAACACACACACACGCGCGCGCGCACA